ACGGCGGAAACACACACAAAACCTGCTCCTGCTCTAGGAAAGGATGTGTGTCATACACTCAAAAAAAATTATACCAACTGCCAATGACTTACTCGCAAAAACAAATGAGTAGCATTTACTAAGATACCTCTGTGTAAAGCCGGCACTGTGGCATCCCGTATGTGCACCCGTTGAAGTCTCAGCTGCTCCTCTTCCCATCAAGCTCTCTGCTAATGGCCTGGGAAAACAGTAGAAGATGGCCCAGGTACTTGGTCCCCTGCACCCACGTGGGAGACCTGGAAAAAGCTCCTGGCTCCTGGCTTCAGATCAGCACAGCTATGGCCATTGCAGCCATTTGGACAGTGTGAAGCAGTGGATGGAAGATTTTCTTCTCTCTCTCTCCACCCCCCCCCCCCCACATAACTCTGCCTTTCAAATAAATAAATAAATAAATCTTTTTTAAGATTTATTTATTTATTTGAAAGGCAGAGTTACACACAGAGAGAAGGAGAGGCAGAGAGAGAGGTCATCCATCCACCGGTTCACTGCCTAGTTAGCTGCAACAGCCAGAGCTGTACATATCTGAAGCCAGGAGCCAGGAGCTGCCTCTGGGTCTTCCCACACAGTGCAAGGGCCCAAGAACTTGGGCTATCCTCTACTGCTTTCCCGGGCCACAGCAGAGAACTGAATCGGAAGTGGAGCAGCCAGGACTCAAACCAGAGCCCATATGGGATGCCAGCACTGCAGGTGGCGGCTTTACCTGCTAAGCCACAGTGCTGGCTCCTAAAATAAATCTTTTTTAAAAAATCAATGAAATAGAAAACAGAAACAATATATAAAAATTAATAAAAGTTGGTTCTTTGAGATGATCAATTAACTTGATAAAGTTCAAGTCAGACTGATCAGAAAAATAGAGCAGAAATAAATTACCACTACCAGGAATGAGAGAGAGGATACCAACACAAATCCCACCAATATTAAAATGATAAAAGAACATCATATGAAATGTACAAATTCTTTAAGATAGAAGTGACCAGAGTCTGTGCAAAATCAAATCAATAACCCAAATATAAACAACTTACATTTTTAAATTGAAATTAAATTTGTAATTCAAACTTCCCCATAAATAAAAGTTCAAACCCAAACAACTTCATTCATGAATTCTACCAAACACTGAAGAAAGAAATAATGCCAGTTCCCCATAATCTATTACAAAACAGAAACAGAATTTGTTGATTTCTTCTAAGAGGGCAGCATTACCTAAGTCCCAAACTGGATAAAGACATCATAAGAAAAGAAAACTACAGTCCCTCATGACCACAGATGCAAACACTCTAAGCAAAATGTTAGCCAACTGAATTAAAAAATGCATAAAATCAAATTTAATAGTGTATAAGATATAATAATAATATTTCTGGTTTATCCCAGGAATGCAAAGCTGGTTTAACATTAGGAAATCAGCCAAGGTTGTACAGCCATGTTCCTGACAACATTACTTATTACAGCCAAGAGACAGAAGACACCCCAGGGCCCATCCACAAATGAATGGATGGGCAAAATGTGGCACAGACATACAATGGGCATTACTCACCCTTAAAGGGAAGGAAATTTTGACGCATGATACAGCATGGGTGAACCTTGAGGACATGTCCAGTGAAAGAAGCTACATACAGAAAGATAAATACTCATGGTCTACTTCTATGAGGTATTAAAAATAGTCCAATCCACAGAATCAGAGAGTAGACTGGGGACTAGGGGCTGGGAGGAGAGGAAATGAGGGGCCTTCTTGGACCTGGATGGTGCTGACGGCTGCACAGCAGCATGAACACCCTGAATAATCCCTGTTCACCTTTAAACGACCAGCGGTGGCATGTTTTATGTTGTGCTCATTTTTCCATAATTAAAAAACACACAAAGAAAATAAATCAAGGTTATACACCATGTTAATAAAGAAGTAACCAGGTATCATCTCAACAGGCACAGAAAAGGCATCTGACAAAATCTAAAATTTATTCCTGATAAAAATTCTCAGCAAACTAGGAAAAGAAGGAAATCTGTTCAACCTAATAAAGGACATCTGTGAGAAACTCACAGCTCACACCACACTTGACCCACCCTAACCAGAAACACTGAGGAAGAGAATTCTGGGGCAGGAAATTTAGCCTGGCCCAGCTGCCTCATCACAAGGCCACCTCAGAACCTAGCACCCAGTCCCGTGCTCTCTCTCCACCTCTCTGGGCACCACCCTTCCCCAAAGCCCCACCATTTTTTGCCTGGGCTCCAGAATGGCCTCTTAGCTGGCCTTCCTGCCTTCATTCTTTCTGTACTCAGAGGCTGGGGTGGTGGTGGCTGGGGGATGGTGAGACACACTTTCAAACAGAAGTCACCGTGCCATGTCTCATGTTAACACTATCAAAGGCTTCCCCCTAAGGCCCTTGTCCGTGCATTCTCTCTGCCCAGGGTGGGCTCTCTGGAGCTCTTTGCACAACCACTCATTCGCTAGTCTGGAAGTCTACGCTGGGCACAACATCAGAAACAGCCCACTCCCAGCTGGCCCTTCGTCTTGTCTCCCCTTCAAGCTCTCATTCTCTCCCTCAAGTCCCTTTTCACCACTGGAGCTGCCATCCTGCCTTTGGTTCCCTCTCTAGGGAGGGCGCTCCCTAATTTTAGGGACCTGTTGGTTATATTCAATATTATATCTCAGGCACCTTGCCCTATGCCTGCCACTTAGTACTTGTTTATTAAATGTTGATGGAATGAATGAATGGGCAAATGAAGAGCAACTCTCCCCCCTCGGTCGGCACCTGTCTGGTCTGACCCTCCCCCACTTCATTTTCTTTCATGGGGCAGGTTCTTCATCCGCTCATCTGGTTGGCTTTTTCTGATCCATGCCGTGGCCGCCCCTGGCATTAACCAGAGTTTCTGCACTCCCTTCACAGACGTCTCTGCCTTGGCACCAGCAACTGCCCTGTTTTTAACTTCATTCCTTTTGCTGCAGGTCTTTCTTTTCCAATCACAAGTTGCATGAGCCTGTGAAAATCTGCACATGTGTTCTTGACTCAGCAAATTTATCTTTGCCAATGCCCAGGAGGCCAGCTGAGATCCACGAAGGCTGCAGTGGGGAGGTTTTATGGACTGCTCCGAAGCCCTTTTCAATTATTGGGATAGTGCATACACAACATGAAATTTACCATTTTACCCACTGTGCAGTGCACAGTTCAGTGCCATTAAATGCACGCACCATATGTGCAACCATCACCACCATCCAAGTCTACAGCTCTTTCCTTCTTCCCAAACAGAAACTCTGCCTCATTAAACAGTAACTTCCCATCGCCCGCCTTGTCCCACACCCCAGCCCCTGGCAACCACTTTCTACCTCCTATCTCTGATTTGCCTGGTCCAGGGGCCTCAGATAAGGGAATCATGCAGTGTTTATCCTTTTGTGGCTGTTTTGCAGCCTGTGGTTACCCCTTCTTGTACCAATCCATCCCTGGGGCTGTTTGCCTGGACTTCAGTAAGAGAAAATCATATCCTGAGAGGGGTGACCTCCTGAGTCCCCCCTTACTCCAGGGTGGCCCTCTATGAAACACCACCCACACACCTCTGTGAATGAAAACCTCGTACCAGTTACCTCGCCAAGGTTTTGCTGTTTAATTTATACGCAGGTCATGCATGCAAGGAAAGAATATGACATGAGTGAGACTTACCTCACTTTATCTTTGCATATTTCTTCTCTCCACACTCTGAGCTCCTCAAGGTCAGTGTTTGTGTCCTGCTTAGGAACTGTGTTTTCCTATGAACACCTCATCAGAGAAACACCACCAAACAGTGACTTCAAAGAGGCAGTACCCCAAGGCCAGTATGGCAGTTCTATGATGTCATCAGGAACCTTGGATCCTTTGGTCTTCATGGAGAGATCTGCATCCTCATGTTTTTAATGACTGCTAGAATTCCAGCCACTGGGTCCACATCTCAGGTGGGAAAAAAAGTGGGGCAAATGGAAAACAATTAATGTCTTTTTTTAAAAAAAGAACTTTCCCAGAAGCCCCACCCAATGACTTCTACTGTTTTCAGGATTTGTGTATTTGCTTCAAAGTCAGAGTCTCTCTCTCTCTCTCTCTCTCTCTCTCTCTCTCTCTCACACACACACACACACACACACAGAGAGAGAGAGAGAGAGATCTTCCATCTGTTGGTTCACTCCCCAAATGCCCACAACCATCTGGGCTGGACCATCCAGTACTCCCATGTGGGTTGCAAGAGTCCAAGTACTTGCACAGTCATCCGATACTTCCCAGGTACATTATCAGGAAGCAGGATCTAAACCACCAAGAAGCTGGAACTTGAACAAAGAGATTGGATTCAGGCATCCCAAGTGGCAGCTTAACCCACTGCACCACAATGCCCACCCTGGCTTCTATTTATAATAGCACATACTTCACAATGGTGATGAAGGCATTTAACCAAACGAGTTCATGTTCAGTGTGTGGCATGCAGGCAGCACCAAGTAAGTGTTAGGTCTTGGGGCCGTTTCTTGGCTAGAGCTGTGTGACAGGACAACCCTGAATTGAAGGGAAGGTTGTACAGCCTTCAGCAAAGGGGCCTGTTGGAAAGTGAGCAGGGGAGAAGTATGTGCATAGGCAGGTGGCAGTGTGGACTACAGTCCTGTCTCTCTCTTTGCAATGTCCCCAGCACCAGCCACATGAAATGTGCTAAAAATAAATGAATAAATAATAAGCATACATGTGTGAGTGTATACAGCAACAGAAGGAAAGAAGAGAAGGAGAAGGAGAGGGGAGGGGAGGGTGGCGGGCAGGAAACAGTCACTGGGCTCAGGGAGGATCGTCAGACGGCAGTGGAGAGCTCAGGCCCTGGGGTCTGCCTGCCAGCATTCACATCTTGGTCCTGAGAGTTATTTGCTGTTTGGTCTTGTAAAATTTATCACCCAGAAGTTCAGTCTTCTCATCAGTCAAATGGGAATAACAGCAGTTCCCGCCGTCCGGCTTGCTATGAGAATTAGGTGAGGTAGTGCTTGGGTCGCGGGAGCCATGCTGCCCACGGAGCTTACTGCAGGTTCTTCCCACCGCGGTGAAATAAGTCAGCTGTGAAGACACAGACTTGCACTGGAGAGAGAGCAGGATGCACTTGAGCAAAACAAAAGTGCAAGCGCAAAAACAATTCGGGCATGAACAGAAAAACATTGCAAAAAGGCCCTCAACACAGAAAAATCTCTCTTCAAAGGAAAACACTAGCAACAGTCAAATAGCTCTCCACATACACACACACACACACACACACACACACCCAGCCAAGACAAAGCCACATCCAGATTAGACCTAAGCTTTGCCCCCTCCAGAGGTCTTGGGGGTGATGGCTGGGGTACAACCCAATTGAATGACCAAAGAGAACGGGGCTAGGCCATGCCCATTTTAGGAAACATGGACAGTGTCATGAGCTCAGGGGTACAATGGGAGTGGGTGCCACCCCCATGGTAATCTGATTATAATGACATTAAAGTGATCTAAAGGTCACGAGATGATGCATCCTGCATCCATGCTGGATACTTCCAGGTAGCGCTGGTTGCACGCTGGCCACACACACTGCGGGACTTGGACTTCCCACACTTGGCAAAGGGGCAGGGGCTTCAGGGGTTTGGGTGCATGCGAGGGATGCTTGGGCCATGCACAGAAAGGGAGGCCTGGCCAGTGCACAGGAAGGCAAAGGAGCCTGGACAGAGCACGGAAGGAACCTGTCCTGTTGGCCGGGCCAGGCTGTCCCACGGGCTGGCTGCAGCTGTCCGCAGCAGGTCAGCCACGGCCTTCAAAACTGCCCATCTTTTGGAACGGTCAGTCAAGGACTTCTGTGGATAGGGAGGAGCTATCGGTGGTGTGGCTGGAGATGTCAATCACAGACCCACACTGCTGGGCAGCTGGGCCGGAGCTGGCAGACTCCAGCTTGGCTGCAGCTCCCAATCATCAACCCCACTTTTGGACAGGGTCTGCAAGGTGCCATCAGGCCTTCGCTCCACCGCTAGCTACCTGCTTTCCTACAACACTTGGAAGCCTTGTTCAAGGAGTAACTACTCACAACACTTAAAAAGGAATGGAAATCTCTCTCACGCAGCCTGTCACATGATGGGAATATGAGAATGTTTCAGAAAGCTCGTGAAAAATCTAATTAAAAGTCATTTGGTGCAAAAAAAATACAAAATCCATGTTGGAGTCAGTGTCGTGGTGTATTGGACTGGGCAGCCACCCGCGATGCTGGCATCCTATATAGCGTGAATTTGAGTCCCAGTTGCTCCACTTCTGATCCAGATCCCTGCTGATGGCCTGGGATGAAGATGGTCCAAGTACTTGGGACCATGTCACCCATGTGGGAGACCCAGAGGGAGCTCCTGGCTGACTTAATTTTTTTAAAACTAAAATCCATGTACAGAGTTTGCATAATATACATTTTATACGAACTTTTTCAATTACCCTCACACTTGGGTGAAACCTTCTTAGGTCCACAGTCTGGTCAACGGCTCTGTAGATTTAACTCTTAAATGGAACAAATGAAACAAAGGATACTAAATTTCACTGTAGACTATACAGCCATCTACCAATGTTATCAGAGAGACTGCAACTGATGTTTAGTGTTGACTGCTGCAGAAGCTACAGTGACTGTACATGAATAATGTATAGTCCCTGACGTAGTGGTAGGAACAAAGTGATCAGACAGACTTTGTACAGACATAAGCTACACATAAGAGACGCATTTTCCTGGAGCCTTAGAGAAAGGAAAGACCACTTCTTGTTTGGAGAGTTCTAGAAAACGTCTGTGGATGAGTTATAATTTGATGTTGGCTTTTACGTTGAACAGGACTGGGACGAGGACCAAAGACAAAGACATGCTTTGCAGAGAAGACACGTAAGTGACAGAGGTAGTGTTGTACCTGAAGTGAGTCACAGAGAAGTGCCACACGTTGAGAATTTGGAATGAGTCCTTTATCAAGCCAGCAGTTGAGAGTGGGCTCATGCCCTAAAGAACTCTCAACTCCAAAGTTCATAGCAACAGGGTTTATAAAGGCAAAAACTGGGCTGGCACCACAGCTCACTAGGCTAATCCTCCGCCTGTGGCACCAGCACCCTGGGTTCTAGTCCTGGTTGGGGTGCCAGATTCTGTCCCGGTTGCTCCTCTTCCAGTCTAGCTCTCTGCTGTGGCCCGGGAAGGCAGTGGAGGATGACCCAGATCTTTGGGCCTTGCACCCGCATGGGAGACCAGAAGGAGGCACCTGGCTCCTGGCTTCGGATTGGCACAGCACGCCGGCCACAACACACTGGCTGTAGTGGCCACTTGGGGGGTGAACCAACGGAAAAAGGAAGACCTTTCTCTCTTTCTCTCTTTCTCTCTCTGTCTAACTCTGCCTGTCAAAAAAAATAAATAAATAAAGGCAAAAACCACAAGGAGGGGAGGGGGAATACACGGTTACTAGGGTCAAGCTGACCTAAAGCATATGCAAAACTACTATCAAAGTCTTGACAATACCAGTTACAATCTTAACAAGTCCAGTTACAATCTTTCTTGACATTAGTCCAGTGGACTTCAATCATATGTGGGACATAGACAAATTACAATCTTAACTTTAATCCAGGTTCAGCCTATCTGTTTTAAGCTTGAGCCATCATGCTAGGGAGTGTCTATGTTCTGCCAGGCAGGGTCTAGTGTGCTGCTATTGTCTTAGTTTTTAGTTTTAGATCATGGTCTCGTGGTGGGGGGGGTGCCTTCTCAAGATGGAGTCCCTACTGTCAGGATATCACTTCAGTAGGAAGGCAATGGCACACCTGGAGAACACTTGAGAACAGGTGAGTAATGAGAAATGCATGAGGCAGGAGACAGCCCAGGGTTAACTCGGGAAGTCGAGGAAGGCTGATTTTTCTCCCGATCCCTGTCTCCTTTATTGGAGACCTTGAGGCAGGAGACAAAAGGGGCTAATTGGGGAGGATGAGAAAAACAGACCGCAAGCTGGAGAAACCTGCACTGAGAAGCTACAAAGCACTATGATAGAGGCCAGAAGACCTCAATACCAGGCATCTCCAAGCCACACGAACGGTCAACCCTTATAAAAATATACTTTTCGGATTCAATTTTGTTGATTTCTTCTCTAATTTTAATTATTTCTTTTCTCCTATTAGTTGTGGGTTTGGTTTGCTGTTGTTTTTCTAGATCCTTGAGATGCATTAATAGCTCATTTATTTGGTACCTTTCCAATTGCTGGATGTAGGCACCTATTGCTATAAACACTTAACACTGCTTTTGCTGTATCCCATAAGTTTCAAGTCTCAGCCGCAATCTGAGCTTTGGTTCTTGGCCCTCTTCTACTCTCTTAAGAAGTACACTTTCTTTTCCTATAATAAGCCTTTGCTATTATACTTATCTGTGTGAGCTTCATTCAGTTCATTGTCAGAGCTGCAGAAGAATCTGCACCTAGTCCTTTGCCTTCCTACTCTCCACTCCCACAGCACTGGGATCAGAGGTAGACCGAGAACATCCAACTTCAGAGTTTCCACAGTGGACGCTGGGCAATCAACGAGGCTTCTTAGCTAGGGAATTCTGACCTCAGAGCGCTCCTTAAATGGATCTTGTCATGATACTGAGGACAGGGTGGATACAGTGGGAGTCCACCTGTCATCCTCGTGCTGGGGAGACTCAAGGAAGGCTCTGTGAGAAGAGAGGGAGCCATGAAAAAGGAAGCAGCTTTCACTGAATAAACATTTTTTAAGTTCTTGTAAAGAGCTGGGTACGGTTGAGGTTGCCGGGGACACAGTGGCCCAGTAGGCACAGCCCGTGTCCTCCCGGAGCTCCTCTTCCAGGGCCATTCTTGGTTAGGGAACAGAGGTTGGAGGGCTGTCCGCTGCTACAAACAAGGGGGAAGCAACACAGAAAGCAAAGGAGACGCAGTCCCAGGGCAGAAGGAGGAGCCAAGGATAAGACGCTCTGCAGCCAAGGAGGAGAGCCAGGAATAAGAGGCTGCTAAGGCGGCAACGTGGCAGAGCCAAGGCGGTTGGGAGCTGGCAGGGGCTCCCACCGTCATTTCCTACTGCAGGCCGTCTCCTCACTGGTCCTCTGCGCCTAGGTCTTTCCCTAGCACCACTTCTTGGCTTTCCAGTCAGCCAACCTCCCACAGATGTTCTAAATACAATTGCTCCACCTGCCAGCCACCTGGGCTCCAGCCTTTTTTTTTTTTATTTTTTTATCTTTTTATTTATTTTAATTTTTTGACAGGCAGAGAGGACAGCGAGAGAGAGAGACAGAGAGAAAGGTCTTCCTTTTGCCGTTGGTTCACCCTCCAATGGCTGCCGCGGCCGGCGAGTTGAGGCTGGCGCACCGCGTTGATCCGAAGCCAGGAGCCAGGTACTTCTCCTGGTCTCCCATGGGGTGCAGGGCCCAAGCACCTGGGCCATCCTCCACTGCACTCCCGGGCCACAGCAGAGAGCTGGCCTGGAAGAGGGGCAACCGGGACAGAATCCGGTGCCCCGACCGGGACTAGAACCCGGTGTGCCGGCGCCGCAGGCGGAGGATTAGTGGGCTCCGGCCTTTTTAGCTCCATCTACCACCATCCGCGTTCTCAACCTCTCAGAACTGTCAGTGAAGTTGCAATTATGTTCTCTGCCTCCTTCCTTCACTCCTGGACGACGGAGGCTGACCTGGACCAGGAAACCACCAGAGCAGAGCCCCCGCTGGCTGCGGAAGCAGCCCACGGCGTGGTCAGGCGCAGGAGCGATGCTGTGGAGATGTTTTTGGTGCATTCTTCGCTCCGCTACTTACAGGTTGTGGAGACGCACGTTGAGGTCACCGAGCCTCGGGCCAATGCAGACTGTCCTCCCACAGCCTGTGCGCTGGAGGGAACTCGGAAAGGGGCTTCCAGGTGCTTGGCGAGCTGTTTCCTGTCACGAAAGGAGTAGGAAGGCTGCCGGAATCGAGGGAGGGGCGCTCGCGTGTGAGGGAGGGTCTCGGGCACCGTTGCCTACCGCCTCAACCTCACCAGGCCACCACAACCTGACGCAAAAGGGACTTCAGCCCGGCACTGTCGAGGTAAGTTACAAGGACGCCGGCCCGCCGCACGGACTCCCTAACGCACTAACTCAGCTTCAGTGTCCTCCTGATGTCAAAACAACTTGTGTTTACCTCATTGTACCCTTAGAAGCCGTCTCCCCCTTTGCCTCCCTGAAAACGCCCCTGGCTCACTCCGGCACCTAGTCCCACCCACCTCAACGCTCTGTAGCCCAGAGCAGCCCACTGCGGCTACTAGGGGCCGTGACCAGCAACACAAGTAGGCGTGAAGGAGCGACCTCAGAACCCGACACCGGACCCGGACCCGGAAGCGAGCGCGGCCCCCGTCGCTGCGGGCGGAGGAACTACATTTCCCACAAGGCCCAGCGCGGCGGGCGGTGCCCCCGCGGGGCACCTTGGGAGACGTAGTCCGCGCTGCCTCCGCGGCTTCGCGAGACCCGCCCTCGCCAGCATGGCAGCGCCCAGTTGGGGCGGGTTTGTTCGCCTCGCGGTTTGGCCGGGGCTGGGGTCTGGGCTTTAGGCCGTAAGTGGGGGGCGGCGCCGGGGATCCCGGGAGGCGTGTGGTAAAGCGTAGGGACTCAGGGGGCGGAGGCCGGGCCTGGCTGGGTCGGGTCGGTGGTCTCCGGCCACGGAGACCTGTGCCTTCTTGGGGGGCTGGGCGAACCCCGGGCCGGGCCGCGGTGTGGGGAATCCAGACCGCGAGGCTGGGAACCAGGCTCCTGAGTTTGGTTTTTCTGAGAATAGTCGCTTTTCGGCGCTTCCTGACGCCTCGCTGCGGCCAGGCGCCCCGGGACCTCCCGCTGGCGGGGAGACTTGCGCCGGTCACCGGGACCCCGGGCCTCCTGCTGGGGTCCGTGGTGCACTTGGAGGGGCCTTGGGCTCGGGGCAGTGCGCCGCTGAACTATTCCTAAAAGTCAAGCTGACCCGTTGCGCCCGCGCCCGCGCCCGGCGCCGGGGCGTGAGGAGTGCGGGAAGCCGAGATTTCCCGAGTGCGCGCTGGGCCCGCGGCCCCGCGTCCGCTCTGGGCAGCCGCGAGTGGGCTCGCTGGGCGGTGGGTTCTGCTTCCCCCCACTAGTGATGTGAATGTGCCCCCCGCGAAGAACAGCAGCCGCTCGTTGTGGGCCAGAGCTCGTGCGCTGGTGCCTTTGTTTCCTGCAGTATCAAAGTTTACGTTATCAAGAAAATAGTTGAAATAGTTAAATATCCCACAGCTACTTAGTATTCTGGGGGGGGGGGGGGGGGTCCAGATCCCGCTGCCTGCCTCCAAAACCCAAATTGTGCACATTTTCCAAGGAGCATTTTTTTTATTAATATTTACTTATTTGAAAGTCAGTTACACAGATTGAGAGAGGGAGGTCTTCCATCCACTCCACAATTGGCCACAATGGCCTGAGCTGTGCCGATCCGAAGCCAGGAGCCAGGAGCTTCCTCCGGGTCTCCCACATGGGTGCAGGGGCCCAAGGACTTGGGCCATCTTTTACTGCTTTCCCAGGCCACAGCAGAGAGCTGGATCGGAAATAGAGCAGCCGTGACTCAAACCGGCACCCATATGGGATGCCAGCACTTCAGGCCAGGGCATTAACCCACTGCGCCACAGCGCCGCCCCCCAAGGAACAGTTGAACAAAGTGGATATTCCCGAGAGCTAGGTAGGGCTGTGAGAGGGGAATTTATTCTGGATATAAAAGCATCGGTGTAACATTTCATTTTTTTTTAAGGCAGTACTTTAGTTTCACAATGTTTGGGGACCTATTTGAAGAGGATTATTCCAGTGTGTCCAATAATCAGTATGGAAAAGGGAAGAAATTAAAGCCTAAAGCATTGGAGCCACCTGCTCCCAGAGAGTTCACCAATTTGAGTGGAATCAGGAATCAGGGTGGAACTTGTTACCTCAATTCTCTGCTGCAGACTCTTCATTTCACACCTGAATTCAGAGGTATGCTGCCACGTGCGCCTGCTTAGCAATGTACCCTCCTCCTGCGATGTGATTACTTACGCAAAGTCACAAATCGACTACGTACCTTAGAAGTGTGTTCCACAGGGTTCGTTTCTGCAGATGTAAGGCACAGTTCTGGTGATTCTGCAGAGAAAGGTGAATCTTCGATTACTTTAAATGCGTTCTGTGTGATTATGGAATTTTTTTTTTTTTTTGACAGGCAGAGTGGACAGTGAGAGAGAGAGACAGAGAGAAAGGTCTTCCTTTTGCCGTTGGTTCACCCTCCAATGGCCGCCGCGGCCGGCGCGCTGCGGCCAGCGCACCGCGCTGATCCGATGGCAGGAGCCAGCTGCTTCTCCTGGTCTCCCGTGGGGTGCAGGGCCCAAGCACTTGGGCCATCCTCCACTGCACTCCCTGGCCACAGCAGAGAGCTGGCCTGGAAGAGGGGCAACCGGGACAGAATCCGGAGCCCCGACCGGGACTAGAACCTAGTGTGCCAGCGCCGCAAGGCGAAGGATTAGCCTAGTGAGCCACGGCGCCGGCCTGATTACGGAAATGTTTAATGACAATAAAATAAGGCAATGCATTTCTTTTAATGACTAATTTAAGATGCAACGATTCTGTCATGAGTTGTAGACTTCATCACTGCTACATTTTTGGGTTTTTGAATCTTAAAATTTTTTAAAAGTCACAAACACTTAAGCCAGGGTTATCCAAACAATTATATCCTGGCTTTTGGAGTGGGGAGGAGCACCTTATTCATATGGCTCCACAGTTGTTCATCCTTGTTCGTGAAATCCAGAAAACTCGGAGGCTACCCTACTTGGCCTCAGAACCTCACGCAGCATGAGGCTGTTCATGTCTCTATTTATCTCACTGGGTGAGCGTTCATAAGTTCCATAGAGGAGATTACGGTGCTTGATTGGTGGATATGTCTGCCCCAGACCCTGCTGGCAATAAGAAGCGATGCACATGCTGGAAATGCTAAGAGTTGTAGGTCAGAGACTGTGTGCAAAGAAAGGAAAGCTAACGTCAGTGGGTTTCCAAAGCAGGTTTTACTCCTCAGTAAACTCTCCCAAAACGACAGGAAGCTGGCAGACCTCACTGGACTCTTCATTTCTTGCTGTGGGTCTCTAAATGTTTTCCCATTTCTCCCTCTCCAGCCCAGCTTCCTCCACCAGGGTCTCAGCCTTGACTGAGGTACGAGCAGTGCTTTGCCCTGCTGGGACCCCTGGGACCACGTGACGTCATAGCTCAGCTCTCCCGGTGCCTCCATCTCCTGAGGACACACGACATAGCTGCCCTGACTCTGCTCGCCACGGCCCCTCCCACCACCAAGTTTCTGATCTTTCTGTTGTCTTCTGTTGTTCCTCAGCCTAGAGACTTCTCCTCCCGGAGACTTTGTAAATAGATTTTTTAAAAGGTTTATTTGAAAGGCAGAGTTACAGAGGCAGAGAGAGAGAGAGAGAGAGAGAGATCGATTGATTTTCCATCTGCTAGTTCATTCCCTAAATAGCTGCAACGGCTGGAGTTTGGCTGATCCAAAGCCAGGAGCTTCTTCCAGTTCTCTCACTAGCACTTGGACCATCGTCCACTGCTTTACCAGGCCATAGCAGAGAGCTGGATTGGAAGTGGAACAGCCGGGACTCGAACTGGCATCCATATGGGATGCTGGCACTGCAGGGGGCGGCTTTACCCGCTCTGCCACAGCGCCAGCCCTGATTTTGTCGCTATTTCCCGCTGCCCCCTTCCCGAGGCCATTGCAGTAGATTGAGAAGCGTGTGGACTGGAAGAATGGCGCTGCTTGTCCTTCATGTGCTCCAACAGAATACCCGTCCTGGTGCAGTCAGTGCCTCCATTAGACATTTCGGCAGTAATCATTCCTAAAAGGGATAAAACTTTTCGGAGTTTTATATAGTTGATCAAAGGGCAACTTGAAGTAGAAAAGTAGCTTTTTTTTATTCCATTTGTTGTTGAACTTTTTACTTAGTATAGGGTGAATCGTATGTGTATAAAGTTAATTGAAAATAGATCTTAGTTAAGAATAGGAAGGAATAGGAGAGGGAGGAGGAAGAGGGCTGGGAGTGTGGGTGGGAGGGCAGGTACAGTGGAAAGAATCACTGTGTCCTGAAGCTGTGTTTATGACATGCATGAAGTTTGTATTCCTTAAAAAGTTTCTGGAGGAAAAAGTGTTGGGGAGGGAGAGAGCTTCCATCCTCTGGCTCACTCCCCAAGTGCAGTGACAGCTGGCGCTGAGCCAGGCTGGAGCCACGCGTCTAGAACTCAGTCCAGGTCTCGCATGTGGGAGGCAGGGACCTGAGTACTTGGCAGATCATCCGCTGCCTCCCACCATTTGCAGTATCAGAGAGCTGGATTGGCAGCAGGGGCGCTGGGACTTGCACCGGGCACTCTGATATGGGATGCAGGGAGCCCAAGCAGCAGCTTAACCACTGCCCCAAGTGCCCACCCCCAAAATCCTCCCATTGAACATAATTCTGTAAACATTTCCCTTAGTGCCTATTGAATGTCAGACACAGAATATAGCTTACATTTTAATAGAGGAACCTATAAATAAAAACGGTAAAGTAATCGCACACAAAAAGAAAAATAGCCTCCGGAAGAGACTGAGGAAGAAGGTGAGGGGTGGGGCACACTGGGTGGAGCACACTTGGCAGGAGGAGGGCTGAGAGCCCCAGGAAGTGGAGTTGCAAGCTCAGCATCTGGCTTGAAGTCTTAACTGTGGAATGTGCACTCCTTGTGCAGTTCAGCATGAATCCCCAGGCTGATTGAAGTGGAGGTACAATTTGGAAAGGGAAAGGACTGGCAGAGAACTGAGGGAGGAGAATTTTGGAGGTTTTTGGAGTAGTAGAAGTAAGGCAGGGCCAGCGTTATAGCGTGGTGGGTAAAGCCACTGCCTGCAGTGCCAGCATTGCATAAGGCACCAGTGAGTCCCGGCCTCTCCACTTCCGATCCCGCTCTGTGCTATATCCTGGGAAAGCAGTAGAAGATGGCCCAAGTCCTTGGGCCCCTGCACCCACGTGGGAGACCTGGAAGAAGCTGCTGACTTCAGATCCATCCAGCTCTGGCCATTGCAGCCATTTGGGGAGTGAACCAGAGGATGGAAGACCTTTCTCTCTGTCTTTCACTCTCTCTCTGTAACTCTACCTCACAAAACAGAAAAGCTAGATTGGATTTTACTGTACTTCTGGCACAATGTAGATGAGAGCAGTGGGAAAAATTACGGAAGTCATTGTAGTTTCTTCCTTTAACCTGTGTGTTTCTAGTTCAGTTTTGCCCAGTCTCAGCACTGGGGAGGAAGAGAGCCTTTGTAACAGCGATCACTGGATCCACAGGGGGCGATCAGCAAGGAGACTCGCCCAGCCCAGCCCTT